GCACAACGCAAAGTCCTAAAAACAAAAACTTATCGTTCTTTTTATTAATATCAATATAATTACATATATAAATGTAAGATGATTTTTATGGATACTTCTGTAAACACATTGCGCAATAACATTGTGCAATAATATTTTCTTTTTTATATTAACACTTTTTGTCTTTATGTGATACATAAAGCGCAAACTGTCAAATGACATTTGATAACTACAGTTTTGGCTTTAAGATATGCAATTGATAACAGATTTTTGAAAGAAATGTCATCTGACAGTTTGCGCTTTATGTATCATGTAAAGACAAAAAGTGTTATTATAAAAAAGAAAATATTATTGCATACTGTTATTGTAGAAATATCAATAAAATTTGCAGTATAGTATTTGCAGAAATATCAATAAAAATAATCTTATATTCCCATATGTAATCCTTATATCGATATTAATAAAAGGGGCGATAAGTTTAGCTTTTGTTTTTAGGACTTTGCGTTGTGCCATACCTGAGCGCGCCAACTTTAGACGATCTGATTCATAGATATATAGATTGCTGATATCCTATCTCCCACCACAGTATTCTTATCTCCAATTGAATGTCGCCATATTAATGAGAAAGTGTCCACGTGTTAATCGCGTATTTCACACTACAATATTTTCGTCTGAAATTATCTGCACTACTTTCTTTTAAGAACTCTAACCATAAACAAATTGAATCAAATCTAACTTGACAGTTAACGTGCACATGCGCGGACACTTCCTCATTAATATGACGATTTTCAATTGGATACGTAACGTGTATCAACAATCTATATATCTATGATCTGATTAGTTAACTTTAAACACTTATAAATCAAAAACTATTATAGCCTCAAAATTTTGGTATTAGCACTTTGTCTTAAAATAATCTCAGGAATCTACCCTTAAGCGTTGATATGGTCTTTACGGGACACCCTGTATGTATAATATTATCCACTATACATGGTGAGGCGCTTAAAACAGGCCACCTAAATAATTTCTGAATGGTTCGAGATATTGGATTGAAATTTATAAGGTTATACAAATCATAAAACCTGTTATTTAACCTCTTGTAGCACGGTGGCATTGTGGAATGCCACTTTTTCCATAACCATTTTCTGTATAACTGGGGTAGTTTTCACTCAATTTTGGAACATTTTTTTGTGTTTTGGTATCAATTATACATTCAAGAATAAGAATCGATGTGCAATAATTTTAAATCATGAGTGATTTTGTTTATACAAATAAACAAACGTTGAAAAATTACAATTTTTCTGGAAAAAATTAATTATCTCCGAAAGTTCTCAGAGTTTTCACGTAAAGATCTTCCGTCAAGGGTTTTTAGGGTCGCTGATTACGAATCCGTGATCAGATTCCGGAAATTCAAGATGGCGGATTCAATATGGCGGACCCGAATTCGAAAAACGATGCAAATCTTATGTAAACGTATATTTGAGGGTTTAGCGATTTTACATTGGATCAGCACTGTTTTTCGGATTATAGTCACCATATTGAATCCGCCATTTTGAATTTCTAAATTTTGACCTCAAAATCATAATCAGCAACCTCGAAAACTCCCGAGTACCAATTTTCAAGTCAATTATAGGTAAGGAAAAATGTATGCTTCAAAGGGCCTTTAACCTTGAAAACACCGACTTCAATCCTTCAGAGAGGACGGGGGAGGAGACGGGTTGAAAATCTTAAATGGCATATGGGATCGAGTGAGAACTCGTTTGAAAAGGCTTTTCGAGAAAAATATGAAGCCGTTGAGATCTCTATGATTTCTTTTCGCAGTTATGCTCGTTTGAACTTGGTGTTAATTTAGCGCTAGTGAGCTGAGGCCTACGGCGAGAACGTGAGAAAGATAAGACTTCACGCAAAGTCTTTGCTTTTTTGTTTTTATAATTGACCGATCATTAGAGATCCGGCTTTTCAGTCCACAATCCTTAATGCCAATTAAGGCCATTCAGTTTTATTATGTAAAGTCTAATTTTATATAATTATTATTACGTAGTCCCTAAAATTGTTCATACGAGGTTCACAAATGAAATGTTATGTCAGTAACATTTATTCGTATTCATAAGTCTGGGCTTTAAATTTCTACATATGTCTATCCGGACGAGACGTTGCATAATTGATTAATTGAACGAACTTACCATGAAGTTTGATCCAACAATGCTGTCTCGTCCGGATGGACAATCCCACCCACCTGCTTCTCTTAACAAATTTGTGGCTTTAAACGTATAAAAATCCGTACCTACGTTCACGCGGCGGAGTGCAAAATGACAAAGTTTTTTATAAACTGTAAAATAATCTGTTGAGAATAACGTACGCGATGAAGTGTTACTACATCTGTCCATCTGGACGAGATAACATAATCGAACTTCACGATAAGTTCGTTCAATTAATCAATTTTAGCGCGTAAATATGAATTTTTGCTTAGATCGTCAGTATGCGAATAATATTCCGAGATGTTCGTAAACCATAACTAGAAAAAGGAAATTCACAGTAGCATGATATTTTAATTTTTCTGTGGCATGCATATCCCACCTTCGAGTTTCAACAATTTTTATCATATAATTTTTTTACTTGCTATCTAGATTTTTCATGTTTCGGAGATGAACTTTCAAAAACACGGATACTTTTTCTTTGCCCTCGAGTTTGATTCTTACAGTTATTTAATTTCATTAATTTATGGCTCCTGTTCACTCACCATACCATTTTAATTGTAATGTCAGAAACGAGGAAACACATAATAAAAATTCTTACAAATTGTATTATTATTTGAATAGAAATATTTTTTAACAAAACAATATTTGCAATCAACAGAATAGACTTATAAAATATACCGAAGCTGTCTTCTTATTTCAGAGAGAAATTAAATCATATTTACTACGTATTAGATATTAATTTGACAGTTTATGATAGCTGTGAACATAGCTGTTTTATATATAATTCATTTCTAAATATATGGTTATTTATTAATTGGAGACGAAACAAAAAGAGTTTTCGATATATTTTACAAGTTTATCGATACAAAGTCTATTGATTGTAAGTTATTATTTTATTGTGTATTTTATTGTTTATTTATTAATAAAATTTATTAATAAAATACATTTTATTGTGTATTTATTTACTTCTGACATTACAATCTGAGATAGTAGTGATGAGTGAATATTTAGAATTTTTTTCAAATATTAGGGTACAGCAGGGTAATTTAGTGGTATAATTTGAATAACAGTAAGCATTTGCAATAATTTCAGAAAAATAAGAGATTTTAAGATACATTTCATTAGATCGGATATTGATCTAATGAAATGTATCTCAAAATCTCTTATTTTCCTGAAATTATTGCAAATGCTTACTGTTATTCAAATTATACTACTATTCAAATTACTCCGCTGTACCCTAATATTTAAAAAAACTTTTAAATATTCACTCATCACTACTATCTTAGATTGTAATCTCAGAAGTAAATAAATACACAATAAAATGTAGAAATATGTGTCAATAAAATACATTTCAATATCCGATTTAATAAAATGTATCTTAAAATCT